ACTTTGGAATTAAACAAAATTAATTCGAACCATGAAAAAAGCAAAAAAAAATCTCCATTTAAATTTAAAATGTTCAATAAGACTAAAGAGTCAAGACTAAACCCTATGATTCCCCACCACTCTCGTTGGTTAATTAGGACAACAACGGAGACGTTGTTGTTGTTGTAAAAAAGTGTTTGAACCAGCTCTTTAAACTTAGAGTAATGTTCGTCCAATAGTACATCTTCTCTAATGTCTTTTTGTTATCAAGCATAAGTTCCATGAATGAAGAAGACACATGCTTTGACTCTACTTCATAATAAAATCTGTTCCAAAGGACCCCATCTTTTGATCTCCAACATTTATCAGGAATCAAGCCTTGCAATTCCAGGTATATGTCAAGAGACTCCGTCTGTACAACAGAAAAAACCATATTCAGACCTGATAAAAGTTAAAATGGCTAAGGAAAATAAAAAGTGGTTTATGGTAGATATACCTCTATAGCGTTGCAATGCCGTGTGTGTACCGTTAGCTTCTTTAAATGAGGTGAGTTTTGTAACACCCTTTCTATACTAGGAATTAACCTTCAACATCGGAAAAGGAAGGCGGCAAATCTCGGCAAGAGATCAAATCTAGCATATATAACAAGATCAGAATCATTGACCAGAAACAACCATATACCACCATGCATGCACATATACATATAGGTTTTAAAACGTTCTTTAATTTATGAAAAGCCAATTGATTCAACATGAGTAAGTAAGTGAGTTGTAGCCATTAAAGAAATGATCCCAAAATACCTGAAGAAAATTTTCCCCGAAGATAAGCTTATCTACGTTCTGCACCTTTTCTAGCATCTCTAGAACCATAACTTGAAGTAAATCAGCCTTTTTGGGTGTATCAGCATAGGTAAAATAAATGTTCAGTTTAGCTTCAGTTAAAGATGAGACATCAACTAAAGCAGTACTAGACGGAAACAGAGATGTTTCCAATATGAGACAATGGATATGTGGTGCCACAATCTGCATTGGCTCCGAAACCGACCAAACGTTGCGGTCTACTTGTAACGTTCTGAGACGCAGTGATTTGCATAGATCAAGAACATTGAGTTCATTGTACAAATTCAATCTTGAGCTTTCGAGAACCGGACAACCAGATAGAATCTTAGCAATGGATTCTTCAGTAAGAATACAATAACCCAAGGACAGCTTCTTCAGGGATGTCCAAGACACAGAGGAGGTGGGATTGGGAACCATAAAAAGAGCGTTTATATTCAGGCTGAGTTGCTTGACAGAAGAATTGATGTAGAAGAAATCAGGAATCTTATAAATGCTATAATTATAACAAGTACTCGAGATATCCAGGGAGAGATTCTCAGCGTTGCGAGACATGACGAACTCGATCCACTTGTCCATGTGAAGAATATGCCACTCGATGCTGGATCTGAGGTGAAAACTCCTAATCTTTGGAGCAGTGTAGCGAGTTAGGGTTTTGTTTATCGAAGCAGCCTCAAGTGAATGACTATCGAAGGAGATAGAAGGTGTACCGCACCATAAGTGCCTCCATGTTTGGACAAGAGGGAAGTTCTGATGGCGAGTTTAGTCGGAATAAAGCAGAGTATATGTTGGACGATCTCATCAGGTAAAGAGCTGATTGAGTCTACTCCTCCTTTGACTTTGCGGAGGATTACAGCGACGGTGTCGGCCATCTTAATTTATGATTTGCTTAGGGCTTTATTTTTCTGAAATATGTAGCTTTGTAATGTTTATAAGCGTATAATAACTCTCTTCTTCCAATTACTACATATTCATATTACACAAGGCCCCTAAATAGTAATTGGGTTTTTGATTATAACATCAAATCAAATTGTAACTAAATCAAAATGACAAAAAAATATAGGTACGTTGCAAAAATAATGCAAGCATATTGTGAATAGTACAAACTTGAGTTTCCTACACGTTAGAATGAACCATTTAGCTTGTAGCTTAAGTTAACTATATTTTTCTTGTAGTGAAATGAATTTAAATTACTATAACAAACGTTGTCCATCAAATCCTATATATAATAGTTGAATTACCTCTCACATATTATAAATCTACCACTACTATAAATAAATCTACCACTACTATAAACAAATCTAAGGTTGTTTTAGTAAAGAAGTGAAAAAATTGAAAAAATCTACAATTACAATAAATAACCCTACCACATATTATAACTCTACCACTAGTATAAATAAGTCTACGATTGCGCGAACTATCAATAAGTCTACCGATCACAAAATAACTCTACCACAACTACTAATAAGTCTATCACTCAAAAGTAAATCTACCACTATTGTAAATAAGTCTGCGATGGCGCGAACCATCAATAAGTCTACCGATCACAAAATTAACTCTACCACCACTAGAAATAAGTCTACC